TGGAAAAATGAAAGGATAGTCAAAATAATCACATTCAAAACTTTCAAAGAACTTTTTAGCATATATGGATTTTCTGAAACTTTATACAATTATTACTATGAAAAAATTGGATTAGAAAAGGATTTAACAGAACTGGAAGGGAAATGCTGTGAAGAATGTGGCAAAAAACTCATAGGACAATATAGTGAAATGGGGATAGATCAAATCGAGGAATTATACATTGACCACAGAATATCTATAGCTGGGAAAGGAACCCTACCACACTCAATATTTGAACAATTAGAAGAAGCAGATGAGAACCTTGAAATTACTTGTGGGCTCTATTACATTCATTGCAAAAATAAGGAAACTGGATATATTAGGTATGGGAAGACAATAAAGGAATTTGTGAAAAGAATCTATGGAAAAATAGAAGACTAGAAAAAGAACATACTGGCACAAGTAATGATGAACATATTTGAAACAGAAATCATTGAAGAAGATATAAATACCCCTTGACTGAATTTAATCATACAAAAATAAGAAATCAGCTATGACAATAAATCAATCAAATAATGAAATTTCACAACAAATCATTGAGGAACTAAGAAGGAGAATTAATCATTGGGAACTTTCAGCAAGAAAATTAAAGAAACATGTCAAGTATAATAATATTGAATTAGAAGAAATGCTTAATAGAAAGGGAAAATTACATCCATTCTTTGACATTGAAAAGGAAGATAAGGAATATATTAATGAAAACGACGCAGACCCAAAAAAGGTTGGACTAGTCATCTGGATAAGATGGTCATCGAAAAAATCAGTTACTAGGGAACAACTACCTGAAGAATTGGACAAGGAATGAGTCATTATTGAACCGTATGATAGCTGGAAAAGGCAATATGAACCAGTCTTAAAAATGATGGGAATTAGCAAAGAGCTATATGATTTATTAAAACCATTCGTGTATACTGAAGGATATTCTGAAATGATCAAAGAACTAAAAAGACTGATTAAAGGGAACCTAGGACAGATAGAAGCTACATATAAAATAACCAAAGAAAGCCCAAAAATAACTCAAATAACCATGGCAGAACAGATTTGTAAAGAAGGGATTAAGGAAATAATGAAGGTATATAATTATTGAGGATATCTTGAAATCATCAAAGAATTTAAGGAAATTTTGGAAAACAGAGAATCGATACTTGAAAAAATACAGGAACAAAAGAACGAATGGAAATGGTATTACCCGGAAAAGTTTATGGAATATTGTAAAAGGAACGAAAATCTTGATCATGTGATCAGAAAGAAAGACGATGATTATTAATTAAATAATGAATCTTCAATTAATTTTAAGGAGAAAACTGTATTAATAATTAACATTGAAAAAATCAAGGAAAAGAATCTTGAACCAAAGGAACATATAATAATTTTTGTGAAATTTTTATAAAAGAAAGAAGGGAAATAAAAAATGATTAAATCGAAAAAACTATAAAAATACTATTAGATGATCCCAAACTATTGTAAGCTATCGTATATTATAATTTTTATAGTTGAAATATTCTAAACAATTTTTAATAATTTTTATTGATAAAAATAAAAAATGTTTAAACGTGAAAATAAAAAATTTTAGATTACAATTTGCTTCAAGCTAGTTATAAAAGATATTCATTGCTCTCTTTTCAACAATCACTTTAATTGCATTTTCGAAGCAATATTTATCATAAGTTATACTTCTTGACTAATAAATTTGTTTTAAAAAATATTTTATAAACATATTGCTATCTACTCAATTTATCTTTTTTTACTATTTTTATTAAAAAAATTTTTTTTTATTTATTTAAAATTTTATTTTGATTAAATAATTTTTATCTATAATAATATCACCATGATATATTTTTATTAAGATATTAAGTAAATATATAATTATTTTTTTTTCTCTCTGTCAAATTAGTTGTATACTTTATTAAACATTTATAGGTTATATATATTAAATGAAATGCTAAAGCTAATTCTCTAATTAACTAATTCATTTTAGTTATATTACCTCTCTAAGTGCAACTTTGAAAGTAATTTTTTGTTCCATTAAAAGTTCAAATAAAGATCCTTTCAATTTCTTATATTATTGCCTGTAGATTACTAATGTGAATCACTTTTTTGAGCTCTGATAGAGATCATAACCTTAACTACTTTATATCATACTTCACACCATTTAGTAAAATTTCTTCCAATTTCATGTCTTTGATTCTTTTTTCTTCATATATCAACTTCTTATTAGATCAACTTTCTATACTCTTGCTCTTTTATTTCTGATTCTATAGATATACTGGTTTTTTAATTTTGTTGTGTTTGCAAATTTCTGATATTTGTTTCCACTCAATTTCCTTTTTATATTTCATATTTTATATTTTTTTTTAAAAGTAATTATGTACTTTTTTTTGGATTTTCATTATTCATCTTCTTGCCTCTTTTCCAATTCTCTTACCGCAACATTTCAGATTAACCATTCTTATAATTAGATCTTTCTCTATTAGTTTTATATAGAAGTTAAGTATATTCTGACTGGTTTTTAAGATTCTTTTCATCAGTTTTGCTATCTATTTATTAATTTCTCATATTTCTATCTATTATCTATTATTATATTTAACTCTTTTTCTTTGAATTCTTTTTTTCTTTCTTTTGAAAACTTTCTGAATCCTTTGATAACTCCTTCTATTCTTTTTTACCATGTCTCATTTCACCAAGTCTTATAAGTTGAGTATTTTAGCAAGTGTTTTATTGTTTTTTCTTCCTAATCATATATAATATATTTATTTGCCTATACTGATCCAGTCTTCTTTAGATCAGCTTAGTTAATATTGATAACTTATTATCGATCAATTTAATAAGAAAACTTTTGTTTTGAAAGCTTTTAAGGAGATGTTTCATGTATATCCATTCTTAAATTGTTTTCATATTAGATTCCATATGTATTTGTGTTGATTTTGAATTTGTTGATCCCATCTCTTTTCAGTTCTATCTTGAGTTGTTCAATAGTAGGCTATTACTTTATTTTTTGATTTTTTAATAACTTGTCTTATAGAGATATCTAGCACAACATCTTGCTGTGATGATCTTAGACAAGATTAAGTTTTTTCATTTTATCACTGGAAACCTTAGTGCTTCTTTAACAAAAGTATCTGCTTATTCATTATACTAAATGTTAGAATATACCTTAACTTTGATAAGCTTGAAATCCAGTTTCTTTTTTTTTATAAGATCCAACATACATACCTACAAGGACCAATTTTATTCTTTTAACCATCTTTTATGGATTATTCTGGGATTCTCCTTTTCTATAGTTTTTTATTTTAAGATACAGGCTTGACTATTTGTAAAGATCTTAATCTTGTTATTTACTAGAGCTACTAGTAATATCGTTACTATCACTATTACTTCTATTCTAATGGATAAAGACCAATCATCTATTTCAATTTGAAACTTGCTTTCTCTTTCTGTCTCTTCTATCTGTATTCAAGCTATTTCTATTTTCATGTTTATACTTAGGGATTTGTAAGGAATCTATTGGAACAAAAGGTTATTGGTTTTTTTCTTTTCTTGTTATGTTTAAGTATTTCAATCAAATAGGATTAATAGGTACCTTTTTTAATATAATCTTTGATGATGTTTACTTCCCAATCCTTTATTTCAATCTGTAATATTCTTTCATTTTAGATAGTTACTTGATTATAGCATATTGTTTTACATATCATTCCTTCCAATTTTTTTTTGAAACTTGAGATTTTTAGTAATTGAACTTTTCTGATGGATTTTTTTGCATTAAGGTAAGGAACCATATGTATTTTCTTTATATTTAGTTCAATTATACATTATTCTTCTATTTTCGTGCATTCTGTGTAATCTTGATATCAGACTAGTTTTCTTGATTTTAACTGAACTAATACATTTGAAGTATTTTATTTTAAGCTATCTTTTGATATTATCTAGAATTAATTTTTCTCAAATTATCTGTTATTGCTAAAATTTGCTTTTTATAATCACCTAGAGTTTCTATCATTTGTAAAAGTTGAAGTTGAAAATAGGGTGTTCTGGACTTTATTTTATACATTCTTCTTTCCAGAATTCTATAAGCTGTTTTAATTTATTTTTCTGAATTATTTCAGTTATAGATATAGTATAAAACATGAAAAATTAGAAAAATATTAATGGTATTTAATTAGTCATATATAAATTTAATTAAATTTATTGAAATAATATAAAAATTTAAAATATTATTTATAAGAATAAAAGAATAAAAAATATAAAATTTTTTAAATGAATATTTACAAAAAAAAATTCTTTGAGAGGTTCAAATTTTAATTTAAAAAAATAAATTTAGATATACTTAAAATAGTTTTTACATATAACTTTATCAAAATTTAATTAAATATTATAAAAAGTTGATATATTATTTTTTAAAACAAAAGAATGAAAAATCTATAATTAATTAAAAAAACTCTTTTCACTGATCCTCTGACCATACACAAAAAAGATGTTTGCAAGAAGTTTTATATTTCTTTACTAATAAAGTCTTTACACTTTCATTAAAATAACTTGAAACTTGTAAAAAAACTTTATTTACATCTGAATAAAACTACCATATAAGGAAACTCAAAAAAAATAAAGAAAAAATTTCTTTGCTCAAAGGAAAAACAAAGGACCTTAGAGGAGTCTCTGCCTCCAAAGGTCACGCTTCCAATGCTTTACATATCTTTTTGAACATTTTGATTACAAACATAGTCCCTCCTCAAGTTATTATTATCTATAAAAATACAAAAACCAATAAAATTTTTACCACCCTATTTTCACAATCCACTCATCTTCCTAGATTCGGTAATTGTTCAAAAGTCTGGCTAACTCCAGTCTGCTTCCCTAAAAATGTGAAAGAAGATATTCAAGTAATCATTATTACTTTTAAAAATTACCAAAGAACAAGAATTTCTACTCAGCTTACCATTCTAACCCTCTCTATCCCTGAAAAAATGATAATCGCTAACCTAAACACCTTTTTAGAATTTCAACATATATTCCACTTAACTGATAATGACAGAACAGATATCATGAAAGAAATAATGAAACAAAAATTAAACTATAGCCTTCATATTCCTTGGGACAAGCTTGAAATCCTTACTGATGAAAAACAAAAAACTTTCATCCTGAACAGAAAAACCAAAACTCCCTTACCTTCTCCAAACACTCCTGCACCTATTGAGGAAAGGATCGATCATGATATGTCAATCAATAACAATACCATGCAACTTGATTCTTCTCCAGCAACAATCCCTGCCTCTACCCCTGATCCCGTATCACCATTAGACAACATAAATCCGTGTGACTATGAAATAACTAATGTAAACCATATTCCGTTATCATACAAGACCCAAATAGACTTTGAAATGGAAATTGATGACCACACACCATTGATCCAATCACAAAAAGAAGACTTAATAGACACTCAATTATGAGTGACTGATACTGAAACCATACCAGCCACAATATCTGCTAATCATCCATCTAATGATATTAGTTTAACACTACCAGAAGATGAACAGCAAAAGATCCTTGATTTTTGCAATGAAATTTCCTTATATAATCGATCCTCAGAAGCCATTGTTAATCTTTTCTTAAAATTCAAAGACAAACCTAAAGATTACCCGAGATCTTTTCTAAAGGCCATCTTTTCAAAATAGACCGAGATTTCTTCACAACATTCGCTAAAGAAGAGTTAATTAAAGGACAGCACCAAGTAAAATACAAAAAAATTGAGGGCAAATTCAAAGTCAATTATCTTAATGCCAACAATATCAGTTATATTACTAAAATGACCAGGAAAAAAATCAGAGTTATCATCAACAAAGCTCTTTTTGCAGCCTACCTCAGATAAAGATGGGTCCCTAAAGTCTAATATTATGTCTTATAATCGAAAGTTTTATAACTGAAAAGGATTTAAGTCCCCTCCAGACTTTAAGTTAGAGGACATAATTATATAACCAAAAAGGATTTATGTCCCCCTCAGACTTTAGGTTAGAGGACATAATTATATAACTGAAAAGGATTTATATCCTCTCTAGACTTTAAGTTAGAGAACATAATTATATAACTGAAAAGGATTTATATTCCTCTCAGACTTTAGATTAGAAGACATAATTATATAACCGAAAGTCAAATTTTTATAATTGATAGTCAATTTATTACTGATCGGCAATTTATTATAACCGAAAGTCAATTTTTTATAACCGAAAATCAATTTTATAACCAAAAGTCAATTGAAAACTAAAAGTAAGGACATAAGTAATTTGATAACTGAAAGTAAGAACATAAGTAATTTGATAACTGAAAGTAAGGACATAAGTAATTTTATAATCGAAAGTAAGAACATAATGTACAAATTTTGATCAAAAGATCTACTTCAAAAAATTTCTGATTAATTATTATATATTT